CAGTGACTTACTTACGCCTGTAATCCTAGCACTGTGGTAGGCCGAGGTAGGTGGATTGCCTGAGTTCATGGGTTTGAGACCAACCTGAGCCAGAGCAAGTCCCTGTCTCTAGAACATAGCCAGGTGTTATGGCAGGCGCCTGTAGTCCTTTGTAGGATTTTAGGTTGTGGCACTATTGAATGCATGTTACTTATCTAAAAAAAGATTGTTCAGCCAGGCACAGTGACTCATGCCTGTAATCCCAGCACTCTGGGAGGCTGAGGCGGGTGGACTGCCTGAGCTCAGGAGTTTGAGACCTGCCCCATCTCCAAAATAAAATAGTCAGGCGTTGTGGCGGGCACCTGTAGTCTCAAGCTACTGGGGAAGCTGAGACAAAAGGATTGCTGGTGCCTAAGAGTTTGAGTTTGCTATGAGCTATGACACCACAGCACTGTACCAACGGTAACAAAGTGAGATTCTATCTCAAAAAAAAGGAAAGGATTGTCCATTTTATTTCTTTCATACTTTAACTTGATAGTCTCCCAGGTCAGGTATAAGAAGCCTAGAAGATTTTTTAAAATTACCCTTTGGGGTGCAAGAAAAATATCAAAGGACTGTTATTTATAATGGTTTTAACTCACCATTGTCTAATTTCTATTTTTGTTGGAAAATGTTTTAAAATAAATACTTTAGAAATAAATGTACACATATTGGTGTACATGCTCAACATTCATAACTGACAGAGGTCCATGATCAAAAGAATTTGGAGGCCATTACATTAAACTATGGATTTCTGTAAAGATGAATTGCATTGATTTCAATTCACACATGATTTTATTTATAGCTAAATCATGAGAAAACCTGCTGCATGTGACATTGTACAGAAATCATGCTTGCAGTAGGAATGAAACTAATGTAGCTGTGAGAACTCATCACTCATCCTCAAACAAACCTTCACTCTAACTTTGATAATTCAAAAAAAAATACATTTTTACCTCTGCATTGAACACTGATTCTTTCCTGATGGCCTGGTAGGTACTACACTACAGTGCCTTGGAGACCATATTAATTTTTTTTTTTACCACATTAAATTAACGATGACATTAAGTAACAGCTGCCACGGCAAAGATGAGTTCTGCCTTCATTAAAAACTGATAGGAATACACATACCTTTTAAGTATGTATTGTTGCATGGACCTTCAGTTCACTGTGTGTGGCAATAATGTTAAGGAGTAGAGTAACTTAGGGTTTGTGAAGCAATAAAATAAGAACTGAAACTAAGAGAACTGGTGATTAAGGAGAGGTGCATTCAGCAAAGGCTGTTGACCTTGGCTTAGTTGTTAGTTGAAAGGAGCAGTTATATTTTAGCTTTTTCTTAAATTTTTTTTTTTTTGAGACAGAGCCTCACTTTGTCACCCTTGGTAGAGTGCCATGGCATCCTGGCTCACACCAATCTCAAACTCTAGGGCTCAAGAGATCTACCTGCCTCATCCTCTTGAGTAGCCAGGACTACAAGTGCCTGCCACAACACCCAGCTAGTTTGTTTGGTTGGTTTTTTTGTTTTTTTATTTTTTTTTGCAGTTTTTGGCCAGGGCTGGGTTTGAACCCGCCACGTCCGGCACATGGGGTCCGGGCCCTACTCCTTTGAGCCACAGGCGCTGCCCCACCCAGCTAGTTTCTAAAGAGGAGTCTTACACTTGCTCGGACTGGTCTGGAACTCCTGACCTCAAGCAATCCACTCACCTCTTCTCCCAGAGCACTAGGATTACAGGCATGAGCCACGGTGCCCGCCTAACTTGAAGCTCGATTATTTCATTCTTTTTGCTTTGCCTATCTTTAGTAATTGTCTGTACTTCTTAAAGGATTCAACTTAATTAATACAGTGTTAAGCAGGGATCCATAAATGGAGTTTTAATTTAGAGATATCCTATTATAGCTCAATGTTTCCAGCATAATGAATTCCCTATATGATTCTAATTTTGATTAAACTAGAACCTACAAAAATACTGTAATAAGCCAGGGGCAGGGGCTCATGCCTATAATTCTAGCACTCTGGGAGGCCAAAGCAGGAGGATCCCTTGAGGCCAGGAGTTCAAGACCAGCCGGAGCAAGAGGGAGACCCTGTCTCTACTAAAAATAGAACAATTAGCCAGGTGTGGTGGGGAGCACCTTTAGTCCCGGCTACTCAGAAGGCTGAGGCAGGAGAATCACTTGAACCCAGAAATTTGAGGTCGCTGTGAGTAGGCAGACGCCATGGCACTGTAGCCTCGGGCAGCAGAGTAAGACTGTCTGAAAAGAAAAAATAAATGTAGTAAATGTTTCTGAATTAATAGGTCCATAAATATACCCAAAGTTTGACCCCGTAATCTTTCTAGCTTAAATATATTCAAATAATTTACAACAGTTAAATAATTTACTATAGGTTTATTACCATATCCTTTGCCAAGGCAAAGCAAAAAAGCATACTTTTAGGGTTACAGAAAAAATAAAAGTACATTTGCATGAAAATATAGTACGAAGTCGCTGCAACGGTCTGGGATTTACCTCCCACAAGAGGGCAGTAGCGCTCAACCATTAATGGGGACCCCAACAGAGCAACCGAGGCTTCTAGAGAGAAATCATTAGAGCCCCTTGTTAATGCATCGGTCTCTGGAAGGCACGGGAAAACAGGAACCATCGCGCAGACGCATTCGGAGCTTCTGCCCCGTAACAATAAGACAGGAAATAAGCAACTGGGTCTTGTGAAAGAGAGTGACCTCGCTTCCCGTCCCAGTGTCCTTGCATCACCATGGAGATGGCGACTGGTTTAATAATGGCTGCAGATAGGGGTCTGTTCGTTTGGATGTTCAGATAAGAACCCTGTGGAGCAGAGGTCTTTAGTGGGGATTCGGCGAGGGCAGAATAAACGAGACGGGAGGCGGCAGAACTGTTTTGTCCCAGAAAATTAGAACTGGTTTAGGGGTGTCCTTGGGTGAATTTTATTTTACTTTAATTTAATTCATAACATAACATAGAACACTATGATAATCAAAGCAATCCTTAGAAACCTCTATCATTATCTTGTACAGTTTCCAGGAAGCTAATTTGTAGAAAGAAGGATCAATTATAACAAAAGCACCCTCAATATCTTCAGTAATGTATATTGATTGGTTTAGTATTGCCCATAAAACGAGATGAATCAAGTATTTTTAATGTGCTCTCATGCCCAGCATCTGTTTTATTTTGTTTTTATTTTTTGAAGCAGATATTTTATTATGAAATTAATTATAATGTAGTTACCAAGTACCAGCCACTAACCATGTAAAATAAGAAGGGTTTTAACATTTATTGTTTTATTTATTTTTGTTTTGAAATTTTGAATTTTTTAATTATTGTGGGTACTTAATAGTTGTACATGTGATATTTTGGTGTTTTTGTTTTTATTCATAATTGTCTCTAATATACTGAGCTCTAATCTGGAAAGACTTTTAGTATTTGAAAAACCTAATTGAATTACTCCTTAATTTAATGTTTCAATTCAACATTTATGGAACACTTAGAATTGAGTGAGAAAAAGCAGTGCCTCTGTGTGTGTGTTTTAAAACAAAAAGAATTTTAGAAAAATAATTGTTTCCATGTCTTTTAAAATCAACTTCAAATAAAAATTGAAACTTGTGAATGTTGTCCACATAGTATGAGCCTTTCCTAGCTCACATTGTACCTTTTGTTGTAACTGGTCCTTCGAAACATAGGAAAGTTTAATCTAATTCAGGGAACCCTATTCCTTTGTGTTGATAAAACAGGAAAATAAAGTATGTTCTATTTTGTAATTCTAATAATAATCAACATTACTGTTAATAAGCTATTGGATAGAAAATTTGACATTTGAAAATTCATACTCAATTATAAGTATGATTTAATGGTTTATTAAACTCAAATCGGCAAACACTTACTGGATTAGGCACTGTGTTAGACACTAGGAATAACAAAAACAAATCCCGGGTGGGAGGCATCTGTAATAATTCCATAAATGTAATCAATATTGCACTTTGTCACTTGAGTGTTGCTATTAACTCTGTGACAGATTTTTTGCATACATTTTCTTATTAATCCTTACAACAATTCTATTTTATGGAAGAAGAAATTGAGGCTTGGAGTAATTAAGTGACCTACTCAAGATCACAAAGCTAGCCGGGGTACAGCCAAAGTTAGGACCTAGATCCATTGAACTCTCAAGTATATATTCCTTCCTTTGGACCATTCTATCAGGATGATTAGTCATTGACCCCTGGGAAGAAGTAACTTTTAGGAATGACAGCTTAACAGTTTTCAATTTCACAAATTTACACACATAATGGTGTGTAGATACTATATATTTTTAAATAATGTTAAATATTTCAAATATAGACTAACACCTGCATAGCCATTGCGGAGCTGTATTCTATATCCAATCTAAACATTACACCATATTTAAGTCAGCCTTTTGTTTTTACAGAAATAAGCCATTGTAAGACTATTGAGGCTTTCTACCCATCCATGATCCCAATCTCTTTTCTTCCTCCTTATAGATAATACTATCATGAATTTTGTATTTATCAGTTGTATACATGATTACATAATTTACTATCTGCCTACAAATCCATAACAACATAATATTACCTTTTAGATTTTTTAACTTTTTTAAATGGTACTCAAAAGTATATATTGTTCTACAAGTTACTCTTTGGTTTGCTAGATACAAACCAAAATAGATAGATGGTTTTTAAGATATCAAAACCATCATTCATCATGTCATATAGCGCTCTTACTGTTTGTTAACTGCTGTGTAGTATTTCCTTGTATGAATATACAAAAATTTATTTATCCATATTCCTGTAATTATATATTTAAGCAAGATTCAAGTATGGTTTTGGCTCAAAATATATCTAATGAACTATAATCATACTACTGGAACATGTAATTTTAATAATAAAAGTACATTACTATTAAAGTAGTTTAATAATAAAACTATCCACACTAACTTTGTTTTTTTCTTGATGCAGATTATTCTCGAATTGAAATATGGAACATTGGTAATACTGTCCTTGAATACCTATACCACTGGCTGCACATCTGTTTAGCTCTCATAGAGATAAACAAAACAGTGAATAGTAATATTACCCCTCCATTGCCCTCCAGGTCTGACAACTATATTTATGCAAAAATGCCAGGGGATAGTTTACAATGGATATGATAACAGAACTGGTACTGTGTTCTATTTTGTTTGTTAACTATAAAATGTTTTCTCATTTGGAAAGAAGTCTTTTAAAACATTTACTAACACTTTCAGCACTTTCTAAAACCAAAAGGTCTACCTAAGGAAGACCTATCTAAAAAATACCCAGCTAAGGTAGCAACAACCAAACATAAGTATGTCACAGGATGTATTTGAAAGTATCCTTTTAGTTTGAGCTACGTATCTGCAGTGGTTGATTGAGTAATTATTTTTCATCACTTTGAACTTATGTAAGTAAAGTCTGGGGATTTAGAGGAAAAAAAAATTACATCAAAAGTGTAACAGTTAATAAAGATTTTAAGAAATGGACTGAGAATTGTTTCTCATTTTTCAAAGACTTCTCTGAATACCACCCGCTCCTTTTCTCTCTTCCACCCCCTTGCCTTACTTAACAAATTAAGTCTTTTTTTTTTTAAGAGATAGAGTCTCACTTTGTCGCCCTCCGTAGAGTGCCATGGCATTATAGCTCACAGCAACTTCAAACTCTTTGGCTTAAGAAATTCTCTCACCTCAGCCTCCCAAGTAGCTGGGACTACTGGCGCCCACCACAGCGCCCAGCTATTTTTGGTTGCAGTTTGGCCAGGGCTGGGTTTGAACCCACCACCTGTGGTATATTGGGCTGGTGCCCTAATCATTGAGCCACAGGCACAGCCCACAATGAATTTCTGTTTGTTACATTTTAATGAACAGAAATGTTTGTGGAAAAATGTCTGTGACTCATGGAAAAAAGAAAACACCCTTTTTACAACAACAACAAAAAAAACCCTCTCAAGTTCAAGAACTACAAAAAGAATTTATATTTGTTTAAAGCTTATTATTATAACAAACTTGACTGCTCTGTTATGAGATTTCATCTTCGCAATCAGATATCTGATGACAGAGTCCATTTTTAATAAAATTTTGGGAAATTAAACTTTTATTAGGTTGACAAGATGTGATGTGTTCCAAACATAATTTGAGACTGGAGGTCCCTTTTTAACCTTTTCTGATAAGATGGCAGTGTTATTAGCAGTCCTCATCTCCCCGGTGATCGCATGCCGGGTTTTAACTTATAAGCCTGTTTCATATTTGGAAGAGGGCTTTTGAGGGCACTTGCAGCAACATTTCTAGGAGCAATGTTCTTAAAGATATTAAACTGATAGTCACATAGCCTGATGGCTTCAGAACTAGCTTATAGAGTTCACTCTAAATACAAATGGCATTTTAGGTAACAAGGAAGGGAAGATTTTACAGAATACTATGTTTTGAACCATTACTATGGGAATTAAGTTAACTAAATGTGGTTTCTAGCTTAAAAATAACAAATACCATACATTTGTACACATTTTAAAGTATTTTCACAGGATAGCTAATTTGATCCTTCCAATAACCTATAAAGTAGGTAGTCCTACTATTTTCTTTGTGTTATAAATTATCTCTATGTTATCTTATTTTGTAAATAAGTCAACCAGATCACAACAGCTAGTAATGGTACCAAAAGCTCAGCACTTGTGCACGAAGCCACATCAGAAGAACAAGGCAAATGGTTTGAAGAGAAAGAAAGAGAAGTTTATGACTTTGCCAGCAAAAGAGGAAGAATGGGGGCCTCCTGTCCCAAAGTACCAAATTTCCAGTACATAAGCAGAAATACAGAGCATTTTAAACCGAGGGCCCTCGGTTCTAGGCTATTGTAAAACTACAGTTAATGATTCTAATTGTCCCATCTCTGCCAAAGACAAAGCAGACCTCTGGCCCTGGGCCTCCATCGCTGCAGCTCAGCTCCACCACTTCAGCCACACCACTTCCTGTCAGCAAAGAACAAAAGATATTACCCAGCCTTGTCCTACCACTGCTAGGGACAGGGATGCAGGTCTCAGTTTCAAAAAAAGAGTGGGGGAAGTTTAAAGAGATAGAAAACATTTTTTCATACTTTTGCCATTTTTTTCAGGCCACTCCCTGGGCTACAAGGTGAAGTAGGGTGGTTGATGGCCCTTGCCAGCATCCCAGACATCTCACCAACACCTTCCACCTGCTTACTGGGCTAAGGACCATACTGTCAGTTTTTAGAAACCAAAATTAAGGAAATGACAAGCCAGACTGATTCAATTTATTTAATAATCATTCAAGTGAAACACTATCCCTTAACAAAAGAATCTTATGGCTCGGCGCCTGTGGCTCAAGTGGCTAAGGCGCCAGCCACATACACTAAGGTGGAGGGTTTGAATCCAGCCCGGACCCGCCAAACAACAATGACGGCTGCAACCAAAAAATAGCCGGGCATTGTGGCAGGTGTCTGTGGTCCCAGCTACTTGGGAGGCAGAGGCAGGAGACTCACTTGAGCCTAGGAGCTGGAGGTTGCTGTGAGCTGTGATGCTACGGCACTCTACCCAGGGGGATAGCTTGAGGCTCTGTCTCAAAAAAAATAATAAAGAATCTTATATGTGGGCTGGGCACAGTGGCTCATGCCTGTAATCCTAGCACTTTGGGAGGCTGAGACAGGTGGATTATCAGACCAGCCTGAGCAAGAGCAAGACCATGTCTGTCCTAAAACCAGAAATAACTAGCCAGGCATGGGGACAGGCACCTGTAGTCCTAGCTACTTGAGAGGCTGAGGCAAGAGGATCACTTGAACCCAAGAGTTTGAGCTATGACAATGCCATGGTAGGGTGCCAGAGTGAGACTCTGTGTCAAAAAAAAAAAAGAAAGAAAGAAAGAAAAAGGAAAGAAAAGAAAAGAAACCTTATACCCATTAGCAGTCTTCCCCCAACTTCCCCAACCCACAGCCCTAGGCAACCACTTGGCTGGGCGCAGTGGCTCATGCCTGTAATCCTAGCACTCTGGGAGGCCAAGGTGGGTGGATTGCCTGAGCTCAAGAGTTCAAGACTAGCCTCAGCTAGAGCAAGACCCTGCCTCTAAAAATAGCCAGGCATTGGTGGCGGGTGCTTACTAGGAAGGCTGAGGCAAGAGAATCACTTGAGCCCAGGAATCTGAGGTTGCTGTGAGCTATGACACCAGGGCATTCTACTAAGGGTGACACCATGAGACTCTGTCTCAAAAAAAAAAAATTTGTGTGTGTGTTAAATTTAAAAGTAATAAATAAACACCACCTATTTTTCTGTCCTTAACACCTCAGTAGGTGTTCCATCTCCTAGTCATTAAGTGTATTCAACCCTCCCCCTCAATTTATTGCCTGAACTAAGACTGTCCTGCTCACAGACCTCAACTGATCAGGCACCTCTGCAGGACCATATTTTGCTTCATGAGACTGGCTCTTCAGCCACAGCTGTTTGAATTGCAGTTGGCCTTTCACCAAAGTGAGGTCAATTTGTGAAATGGCCTAGTATAGGAAATATCCAAACTGTGGAGAAACAAAACTGGGAAATAGCAGCAGGGGCAATGTCTAAAAGGATATTAAGTGTTTAGAGAGGCCAAAGGTGTCATGACAGGCCTTAAAGAAGAAGCATATTGCCTTCCAGACACTACAAGTTAATAGAAAGTACGAGTAGAGAAAAGGTGTAGGGAGTGAGTAGTTGACTGGGGAGAAGAATGGGCACAAGGAGAAGTGGAGACTGAAAGTTGTGACGTTAACATTAGTAACATTAATGTTAAAAGATTAACTGGGAGATCCATGAGTTTGGGTGCAGAGACTCCCAAAGCTGTCTTGGATGCAATTCCAGTCCAACTGCTGTGTTCTTTTTTTGTTGTTGTCATTGAGACAGAGTCTCACTATGTCGCCCTTGGTAGAATGCCATGGCATTACAGCTCACAGCCACCTCAAACTCTTGGGCTTAAGCCATTCTCTTGCTTCAGCGTCCCAAGTAGCTGGGGCTACAGGCGCCCACCACAACACCTGGCTATTTTTTGTTGCAGCTGTCATTGTTGTTTTTAGCTGGGCCAGGCCGGGTTCAAACCCACCACCCTCAGTGTATGTGGTTGGTACGGTAATCACTGTGCTACAGGTGCCGAACTCAACTGCTGTGTTCTTAAAGTCTTGTGTGTGTTGTTAAAACCACAAGGTGGTTTTGGTCTAGGTCCAGTTGCTCATGACACAAAGATACAATTGTTCTTTTTAAGAGTAGAATGTGAACGTTTCAAAATAATAACTAAGAAAATGACATGAAGGCTATGTTAACCAGTTTGATGGAAGTGTTTTGGATTGTGAGTGAAAACCCCACACTGTACCCCAGTGCATTAATGTACATAGTTACCATTCAATAAAAAAAAAAAAGATACAATTGTTGAGACAAGGATTGCCAAGGCATAAAGGAATTTTTGATATGATAGATGGGAGAAGCTATTTCAAATCTCTCTCTCTAACGGACACCATAGGGCTTTAAAGGAGGGGCCATGTGCCTGGTGGCAGGTTGTGGTTTAACTAACAAGGGGCTGGGTGCACTGGGGGGCAAGTTTTGGGGGGTGGTGTAGCTTGGCATCAGGAAGTCTGCCCAGGGGCCTTCAGAATCTCAGTTCTTTTGTATTATAGAAAAATCTCCCTTTTCTGGTAAACAAAAGTTAGTTGAGAAAGAGGATTATGAAAATCATATAGGGGTTCACTGAAGTTCGTTCCGCCCATTTCCAGAAGTCTAAAGTGGTTGGAATTCTCTCTTCTGTAACCATCAGGAGTGTGGTAGTGATGATATTATCTTATACCGATTCACCTCGCTTCCATCTTTTCAGCATTCTCCAGCTAAAGTTACCAAAGTTGGTTTCTAAAATATTAGGAAGCTCCTCTGTGCCCTTGGTTCACTGCTACAGTTACCACCAGTACTATAGACTCTACCAAATGGTTAAAGAACTGTCTGCAAGACTGCATCTGAGAAATCAGTCTTCTAGCTTTAGGAAAATCCCATGACTGCTTCATTACAATGTCCCAAAGGCATTTGGAGAATACAGAATTCAAAACACCATTTCAAAAACTCCAATTATCTAGAATATTGAGCTTTTTTTGGTGTAACTAATTCCCCATTCAGTCTCTTCAA